AAAATTGGAGGACAGCATTGAACTAGAAAACATGTACATGGAGTTGCTTTGTAAAATAAATAACACAAACCTGGAAGCATCTGAATGGCAAACTAGACCACAGCTCTCTTTCAGCTGTAACTTGCTTCGCAAGCCTAAATTATAGACTGGAGCCTCAATAGATTGAGCAACGTGAGAACAAAACAACTGAGAGGCAATTGAAAATTAAAGATGTTCACCCACAGGAATAAAACCAATAATTGAGAGTTCTACAGAGCCATCTAAACAGAGGTCAGTGAAAAGCTTTTAGAATCTCAGATGTATTCTAATAATTAGTGACAATGACTACTCTGAGATTGTAAAAGCTTTTGTAACTTCCCTAGGTTTGTGATTTTGTCACTCATCAGCTGTTTCTCTAGTGTGATTAGTAGTTAAAAAAAAATCATAAAACCAAAAAGTATCCATATATTTATCAGAAACAGCCTTGGAGCTGGCAGAAGTCGCCTCTTGTTACCCTGCTGGGCGGCCTGAAAATGAAGGTTGTGATCTGGGATCGTAGCAGAGATATAAAGAAAAGAAAAAAATAGAAGTCTGTCGTAATGACTATTATTTACAAGCCAGTAATTATGGACTAGGCATTTTCCTCTTGCATTTTCTCGCTTAACAGTCCTACAAAATAAGTGCTGTGGTTATCCCCATGTTACATTTTGAGGAAACTGAGATTTAGAAAAGGATAGAACAAGTGACTCACCTGAGACTCTACGAGAAAAACAAACATCACACGAAATGGCAGAGGTAGAATATCATCAGGGGCCTTCAGGCTCCCTGACTCAACTCTTTCAACCCCCACCTAATGCTACACAACAGGCCATGAGAATATGAGAAAAAAGGACAAAGGACAGGGATTGAGGATGTTGCAGAGGCAGTGAACATGAGCCTGAGATACAGGCAGCAGGGAGCTTAATCCCAGACCACCTGATTTTATTTAAGAAATGGCATAGTTATGTGGCTTTTTATGTCCTGGCCACATAAAAAAGGACTGGCTTCGGAGTCCCTGCCCAGTAGAGATGGGGCCTATAGGGAGCAACTGGGGACCATTTCACACATTCCTGCTACCAAGCAAGAAATAAAATTAATCCCGGCTGGGCGTGGTGGCTCACACCTGTAATCCCAGCACTTTGGAAGGACAAAGTGGGGAGATCACAAGATAAGGAGTTCGAGACCAGCCTGGCCAATACGGTGAAATCCCGACTCTACTAAAACTACAAAAAATTAGTCATTGTGGTGGTGGGTGCCTGCAGTCCCAGCTGCTCAGGAGGCTGAGGCAGGAGAATCACTTGAACCCGAAAGGCAGAGGTTGCAGTGAGCCGAGATCGTGCCACTGCACTCTAGCCTGGTGACAGAGTGATACTCCATCTCAAAAAAAAAAAAAAAAAGAAAGAAAAAAAAAAAGAAAATTAATCCCATGGGTGAAAAGATATCGTCAGATTTCCTAGGTATCTTGAGAAATGAGTTTGTATTCCTCTAACAGATTTAGGGGGAGTGGGACCTACGCCATATTTTCATGTGAGCTGCTATTGTTGTTTTGTTTGTTTGTGCTTGTATTTGTGACTGAATTATAGTTCCTAGCCATTTGCCGTTATGAAGAACATTTGAAGAATTGAATGAAAGTTCTAGACTTCACCCCAGAAAAATGTGTGTGCACACATACATACAATTGTGCATATAATTTCGGGAGGGTGGTGCCCTTCCCACAAGAAGCTCACCTACAGATATCACCCATCCAGGAGTCCATAGACACAGTTTAAAATCTCTGAAAGCTGGGTATGTCTCCCAGCTCTCCCACTGTTCAGCTATGTGATCTTAAGACACTCTACATCTCTGAGCTCCATTCTAGTCAGCCATGACTAGTGGAGGGAAGAAATTGCTACCCTGGCTCATGCTAATTTTAGAGAACAGCGATTGACAAGACCCTCTTTAAGGATTTAAATAAGCCCGCAACCACAGAAGCTTTGCCATCCGAAAATTACATGAAAAAATGGAGAGGGAGCTGAGGATTGTTAGCCAGAGAAAGAAAAACCCAGTGGGTTGAAAGGGTTTTCATGTGAATCAAGATGTAGTCTTATTCTGTAAGAGGCTCCAGAGGGGAGACCAGGAGGAAGCAGAGTGCCTTGGTGTTAGAGTGATTTAGAGTTGAAAAGACGTGGGTTAAATCCAGATCGGCCATTTACTGGACAGGTTTTTAATCTTCAAGATCTTTAAAATGGAAGTGATAATGGCACCCATTTCTTATGGATTTGTGGACAATCAAAAGAGATAATACATTGAATGTGCATGGTGTTAAAACAATGGCAGACCTACAATGGTAGGTACTAGCTTCTCTAATAAACTCTCTGACCTTCTGTTTCTTTATCTATAAAATGAGGATAATATCTGTACCTGCCTAGGAGGTTGTTGTGAGATTCAAAAAAGAATATTAACGCAAAAATGCTGAGCACAGTACCTAATGCATAAATAAGTCCTTGGTGGACATTAACCACAATGATCCCTATGAATGTTTCATTACAAAAAAAAAAAAAAGAAAAAACAGTGGGAAGAGAGGAAATAGGGAGTGAAGGAATTTTATTTCCATCTGTTTGTATGTACCCCTAACAAAAATGCATTAGCGTAATGTTTGTGTAATTTAAAATAAATGAATAGTAGTTAAAAGAATATGACTTTTAATTTCAGATTAGAAATCCAGATAAAATAAAATGATATCTAAAGAGTGTAGAATCAGAGCTAGACATCCTAGATCTGATGCCTGAGAGCTGTGTGGACTTGGGAGATTTAGATAAAACAGAACTATGAGCATCTGCTGAAGAGGGATTAAATGAAGTGGCCCAGGAAGACACCTTGACACTGAACTAACACGTAACACCTGCTCAGTGAACCCTGCTTTTCATCCCTAATGACTAAATGTTCCACAGAGACTGACCAGCCTTCTTACACCAAGCTCCTCTTCAGCCAAGCAGCAAGTGTTCTCTGTTCTGGGATTTGGTAAAGGAGGAGAGAAATGAAAATTATCAAGAAGCTTATAGAAGGTAAAAATCACAGGACCTTTTGTTCCCTTGTAATTCAATGTAAAATAGTCCAAGATTTAAATGGAACAAAGGATGATGGTGTTAGGATGTTCTGCCTAGTTTCCATCACTTTTCTAGTCACTGCCTTCTCTTTCGTCTGTTAGAAAGTAGTCCCCCACCCTTACTCCATCCCATAGACAAACAGGGTTTGGATCTTTGGCACCCCATTTCCCTTAAATTATCTACTCCTAGTCCAGATTTTCTGTTTTCCCACTGTATGAGTTAGTGCAGGCCTAAGCGTCTTACCACCAGGTCCCCCTTGCATTTCATCTTGAGTTACAGTCTTAACTTCAAAACCTGTCCCCTTCCATTCACTCTTGTCTGTCCCCTCCAATTCCATCTTCTGAACTTTTGAGAGTGATGTTACATTGTCTCCTTCACAGAATTAAAGGATACCTGTTTCCTGGCCAGTAAACATATAGAAAGGAGCTCAAACTCTCTGTTAACCATGATAAGGAAAGGACAAGATGGGCTGGACATGGTGGCTCATGCCTGTAACCCCAGCACTTTGGGAGGCCGAGACATTTGGATCAGCTGACCTCAGGAGTTCAAGACCACTCAGGGCAGAGTGGTGAAACCCCATTTCTACTAAAATTAGCCAGACATGGTGGCATGTGCCTGTAGTCCCAGCTACTCGGGAGACTGAGGCATGAGAATCACTTGAGTGTGGGAGGCAGAAGGAAGGAGGAAGAAAGGAAGGAAGGAAGGGAGGGAGGGAGGGAAGGAGGGAGGGAGGGAGGAACAAGATGACATTTTCTTTTCAGAAGATTGAAAAAGTTAAATGGTCATATCAAGTGTCGGGAGGATATGGGAAAACAGATACTCTGTGGGTGGAAAAATAAATTGGCACAGCCTTTTCTGAGAATATTTTTCTACAAGCTATTAAATTTAAAGGTGCACATTTCTTTTAACCAGTAATTTTTACTTTTTGGTCGCCATCCTAGCTAGAGAAACGCTTGCATGAATGGTTAGGCAGGCATGAATGTATTAGGATGTTTACCACAGCACTGTTAATAAAAAGGAAACATTGGAACAACCTAAATGTCCCTCAATAGTCAAGAGATATTGTGAGTACTCATAATATAAAATATTACACAGCAATTTAACATAATGATACCTATCTACATAGACTAAAGAAGAGCGTGGTCCAATATATAACAATCAGTGGTAAAACAAAATGTAGTATGATAGCATTTTTTAAAGGCTTGCACAAAACCAAGCTATATATCTCTATATCTATCCAGACACATAGGGAATGGAAAAAAGACCTAGAATGATCATCTTCAACTAATAACAGTTATTGTCTCATGTGAGAGGGCTGGGATCGAGGACAAGGAGTGAAAGAGAATTGTATTTCTGTTTTTATGCACCCCTAACAAAAATGCATTAATGTAATATTTGTGTAATTTAAAATAAAAAAATAAAAATTTGAAAAAAGAATAGGTGGCTTTCCTACTATCATTCTTGGTGTCAAGTCAGAAGTTGCTAAGGAAGAAGGAAGATCTCAACAGAGGGGCTTCAGAGATGAGCAGAGGAGAGGAGAAGCCAGCACTGATGCTTGCAGCGTGCTTCACTTTCACCCCAGCTGGCAGGAGGATGTGGGACGTGGCCACGAAGGAGCCAGAATAGTTGAATCCCAAGGCAAGCAGGCAGATGACAGATCATTTCCACAGCCAAAGAGGAGCCACTCATAAGAACACAGCCCCAGGCCAGGCAAGGTGGCTCACTCCTGTAATCCCAGCACTTTGGGAGGCCAAGGTGGAAGGATCACTTGAGGCCAAGGGGTTTGAAGCCAGCCTGGGCAACATGGTGAGACTTTGTCTCTAAAAAAAAAAAAAAAAAAAAAAAAAAAATTAATAAAGTAAAATAAAATAAAATAAAAAATCACAGACCCCTTACCTCCAGGCTGAGGAGAAGTCACTGAGTCACTTGTTGTCCACATTGACACATGGGATGTTGATGGGAGATCCCAAACTTTGGACTCTTTGGGAAAAAAGGGGAAACAGAAAATAGACTTAGATCAAAGCCTGTCTTCCTGCTTTTGGTACCCGACTGTTCCTATACTGACTTCTTTCTTAAAAAAAAAAAAAAAAAATAGTATCCAGACACTGTCCTAAGTGACATACATGCATCTGTCATTTAATTCTTAGAAAGAGCCACAGGATAGGTGTTATTTCCATTTTACTAGTGAGGAAACTAAGGCCCAGAGAGATTAGGTGCTTAGCTAAGATCATACAGCAAGAAAGGCAAGATTTGTACTTAGCCAGAGTGAAGCCAGAGTGCCCACATAAATCACTCTGCCGTACTGTGTCCCTATGTTACACTATCACAAACACTGATTTATTTCTCTTATACATGTCTGTTTTCCTCTGCCAGATTATTAGCTTCATTATGGCAGCCCCTGCCATGTTAATGCTTACAAATGTGCCAGGCATTCTTCTAAGTCCTTACATGCGTGAAGTTATACAACTCTACAACAAACCTAGGAATAAACTGAGGTCAGGGACCCCCAGCAAAAAGTAGTAGAACTGGGAGTCAAACCCAAGTGATCTTCTCTAGCACCCCCAAGGATGCCAATCGTGTCTTATTTTAGGGTATACTCTGTCCTGGACCCCAGTGACTACCTAAAGAAGGTTTGATGGGTAGGAGAAAGGACAAATAAATGAAAGAATGAAAATTCTCCCCCCATTCTAAAAAAAGCCAATCAGTGAATGAGTAAACCCCTCAGGGGTCTCAACAAAGAAGATTTACATACATGAAATTAGGATGAGACAGCTAAGTGCTACTCAGCCTAGAGTCTAAAAGCAAACATCTAGAGATGTACCATGAGCGACTGCGGAGAATTGCACCAAACAAGAAGGGCCTTCCCCCCACTCCCACCCCCCAGCCACAAGAAGAAACAAACTACAAAGACTACCCTGAGGCCAATTTGCCACAGGAGGATTTTATGGCACAAAAGACCCAAAGAGGTTGTCAGTCATCTGATTCAGCAACACTTTTATTAATTTCCATCTCCTCAGTCCAAGGGGTGAGGGAGGACAGAGGAGGTGATTGTCTGCACACCTTTGGATGTCAGCAGGGCAGTGTCTGCAGAAGTAGACTCAGCATTACTCCAGGGGTCACTGGGGAGGACAGTTTCTGATTCTGGAAGAGAAAAAAGTTGGATAAAAGGCAGATAAAAAATAACAGTATTATTTTGTTTGTAGTCGGTGGTGGGATTTGGGACTACCTTTTCAAAAATTTTTAATTAATTAATTTTTTAAACAGAGTCTCGCTCTATCACCCAGGCTGGAGTGCAGTGGCACTATCTCAGCTCACTGCAATCTCCACCGCCCACGTTCAAGCGATTCTCCCGCCTCAGCCTCCGGAGTAGCTGGAATTACAGGCATGTGCTACCATGCCCGGCTAATTTTATATTTTTAGTAAAAGATGGGGTTTGACCACGTTGGCCAGGATGGTCTTAAACCCCTGACCTTAAGTGATCCACCTGCCTTGGTCTCCCAAAGTGCTGGGATTACAGGCATGAGCCACTGCACCTGGCCACTATTTTTTTCTAATGTATCTATTTTTTTAAAGACAGAGTCTCACCATGTTGCCCAGGCTAGAATTGACCTCTTGGGCTCAAGGGATCTTCTTTTCTCAACCTCCCAAGTAGCTGGGCTGACATCACCATGGTCCAGGCTATTTTTATATTTCAAGTTTTCTTCAAGGAGTGCAAGTGATTTTTAGAATTAAGAAATAGAAACTACAAATCTTGTGTTTTACGGTAGTTATTTATTTTCAAGCCCAAAGGAATAAAAAATACGTACAAAAATTGATTGGTTCAGGGTTCATGGATTTTAGGTGACTATTCAGAGTATGATAGAATTATCCAATTCAATTTTATAAAGCTATTTGAATTATCCAGGACTTACTGAGGCAGCTGAAATGTCTAAGAAAGCCTTCAAGCTATCTCATGATTGCTTTCCCAATTCTTACTGCAGAATCAGAGGCCAACATATAGTGACAGCCTTGACAAGCCCCCCTAACCAATGGAGCGAGTCACTCAGTGAGAGGTACAAGTTGCAGGGTCGAGAATTTCAGGGGAAGAAAAAAAAAGAAACAAAGAAAAGAAACAAGGCTGGAACCGGGCACCGTCAGGGGACATTTTAGAGGCGACTGGAGGTCTTTCCTCAATCAATCGCTAATGCTCAGGCAGCAACTTAACCCCTGAAAGAATGGAACTGGAGTCTGACCAGAAGTGACCTTTCCTGGTTCTTTAATAAACATCTTTGCAACACCCCTGAGAGGTCAATTGGAGAACCCAAAATGCTGACTTTTCAAAAACACAAAGGAAAAGGCAGAAAAAAAGAGACACCATAAAAAAAAAGAAAAGGAACAGTTTAGTAAAAACATCTCCTTACACACACACACACACACACACACACACCCCTACTGTTAAGGAGTAAATTGTGTCCCCTCAAAATTCATATGTTGAAGTGCTAACCCTGCGTGCCTCAGATCCAAATGGACATTGAAATAGGGCATACAAAGAGCTAATTAAGGTAAAATGAGGGCATACCAATGGACCGTAATCCAATATGACTGGTATTCTTACCTGCAAGCCAAGGAGAGAGGACTTAGAAGAAATCAACCTTGCTGACACCTTGATGCTGGACTTGTAGAACCCGGAAGGGCAAGAAAATAAATTTCTGTTGTTTAAGCCACCCAGTCTGTGGTGTCTGTTTGATAGGCCTAGCAAACTAATACATGTGCTCACGCGCGTGCACACACACACACACACAGAGAGAGAGAGAGAGAGAGAAAGCAAGTCACTGGGCTGCATCATTCAGCGAGAGAACTCTAAGAAACCCAAGATACATATGCGTACCTGTAGTGAGGATGGGCCCTTCCTTAGAAGGCTCGGGAGTCAGACCTGTGGCCGCCTCTGGAAGGGTGCTTGGGCTTGGTGAAGGGCACGAGTCTGCTGTTGTGAGGACAGCGATGGTTGTCGTTGGAAGTGGTGTTCTGGTTGTGAGATCGGGTGTGGTCACGACTGTTGTTGGCAGTGCAGCTGTGGTGGTTGTCATTTGTGGGGTGGTGGGGCTCGTGGTGGTTGTTCTGCGTGTGGTTGTTGTTCTCCTTGTGGTTGTCGGGGCTGTAAACAACAACAGACATGTCTGGCACCAAGCGGAGATGGAGGGAAAAGAAATAGTGCAAGTACATCTGGGACCCATCCATTTCTCTCCATTTCTGTGGTCTCACCTGGTCCGCTGGCCTGGACCATTGTAATGCCCAATAAGATTGTATTTCCTGCCCTGGCCCTGACCCCTTCCTTCCAATCTGTTCTTCACACACTACCTAGAGTAATCATTTAAAATGGTGGCCAGGTGCAGGCGGCTCCTGCCTGTAATCCCAGCACTTTTGGAGGTCAAGGTGGGGGAATACTTGAGGTCACAACCAGCCTGGTCAACATGGTGAAACCCTGTACTAAATATACAAAAATTAACTGGGCATGGTGGTGAGCGCCTTTAATCTCTGCTACTCAGGAGGCTGAGGCAGGAGAATCGCTTGAACTCAGGAGGTTGCAGTGAGCTGAGATCATGCCATTGCACTCCAACCTAAGTGACAGAGTAAGACTCCATCTCAAAAAAAAAAAAAGTCAAACATCATTATGTCCATCTCCTGCCTAAATCTTTTCCCGGGTGCTCCTTGCCCTTAAGATAGAGAACCCAGTCCTGCACCTCGGCCTGCAAGCTGCAAGCCTCCATTCCACCCAGTCCTGCCTTTCTTTCCAATCTCATGTCTCCACCCACCTGCTATCACTTCTTCCTACCCTACCGGCCTTTCTTTAGCTTTTTGAACACATCAGCAACCTGCCCACTGCACAAACCTTTGTACCTGCTGCTTTCTATTCTCATTCTTCACGAGGCTGACTCCTGCTTAACTCTCAGGTCTCAGCTAAAAGGTTACTTCTGCAAGGAGGCCACGTAGATTCCACAATAACGATTAGGCTTTTGTGTGATGTGCTCTCATACTTTACCTCCACAGCCTTTATTGCATTCCATAACTGCATATTTATTTTATTGCTATTGTTTAAAGTCTGTTTATCCCACTAAACTTTAAGCATCGTGAGGAAAAATCTGTCATTTATTTTGTTCTGTGCTACAAATCCAATAATTATCACAGTGTCTGGCATATAGTAGATGCTCCAAAAACATTGCATGAATGCGTAAATGAGTGCATCAAATGTGAGCTCAAAGTACGCAAACTAGGGTGAGAATGTAGTCTCTTTCAGACAGTAAAGATTGGTTCATACCGACACCACTCACCCCCTAAACATCTGATCTGAGCTTCATTAGCCACCGTTTATTCTACAAATCTCATCCTCTCTAGAATATGCCAAATTTTCATGGACTCTAATGGACCAGAAAGACACCATTTGTTCTAAGTGAACTTGGAAATGACCTCATAATATATTGTCAAGTATTCTATAAAATAATAGTTGGTTATACCCAATTTGAAAAGAGAAGATTTGAGTGGGAGTCATTTAACATCAATAAACCTCATTTCTCTTTTCTGCAAAATTGGAATCCCTTCTCTCTATCTCACAATGTTGCCTTAAGAGAAAGATATACTAATATGTATGTAAGTTCCTAAATTAGAGTCATCCATATCAGTTGGTCTCAAATTTTAGAGTGCATTAGAGTCACCTGAAAACTTAAGAATGTAGGCTGGGTGCAGTGGCTCATACTTGTAATCCCAGCATTTTGAGAGGTCAAGGCAGGTGGATCACCTGAAGTCAGGAGTTTGAGACCAGCCTGGCCAAGACAGTGAAATCCCATCTCTACTAAAAATACAAAATAAGCTGAGTGTGGTGGTGGGCACCTGTAATCCTAGCTACTTGGGAGGCTGAGGCAGGAGAATACCTTAAATCTGGAAAGTAGAAGTTGCAGTGAGCCAAATTGCGCCACTGTACTCCAGCCTGGGTGACAAGAGCAAAACTGTCTCAAAAAAAAAAAAAAAAAAAAGAATATAGATATCTAGATTCTTGTATTCAAAGGTGCCCATCCAGTTAGGAATAGAGTCCAAGGATCCTCTAGGTGACACTGATGCAGGCTGAATACAGAGCTCACTTTGGGAAGCTCCATGCCAGAAAACTACTAAAGATTATTATTATTAGCATTATTCAACCGTAGGCTCAATGAAGCTCAAATTTCTGGAGTCCCACCATATTCCAAATTTCATCAAAAGTGACCGATAGTAATGAAAGAAAGAGCACCTGAAAATGCTATGACTGTGTCCAAATCTTAGGCCCTTTCTCCTCTGCCAGAAGTGGCAAACCATTGGTTTACTGGCTGAAGCTGAACCATGAATACATTTTACTTAGTTCATGCAATTTTTGTATTATTTTAAATCTGCCAACATGCAAAAAATCAACAGAGTTTACATAAAAATGGATAGATCTAAAAACACTGGACCCAAATATCTGCAAGGTGGAAATCCCCTAGATACATAGCAGCTGCCTCTTCAAATTGACCCTGCAATTCGCTGGTTCCCTTTCCACCTTCCACTCATTTCTGTGGCTGCTTTTGTGTTTATTTCCCTACTTCATACCACGGCATCTCACTTCAAATTCAATCTTCCCACACATTGTAAAAGCAGTTCTAACCTCTTCACCACCAGCCACCGATTCCATTATCCATTAAGCACTGAATCTCTCCCTCCACAGACCTGAGGCCCTTCATGTGCTTACCTCTCTGTAGCTGCAGGCGCCTGTGTAACTTCACATCGTTGAACCAGCCAGGCACCTCTATGCGGCAGCAGTACACACCGCTGTCACCTTCGCTGGGATTTAAGATGGTCAAGGAGACATTGCCTCTCTGGAGAGTCCCCCGAAGTCTGTATTTTGCTGACTTTCTTGAGGTCACCCGCGTTCCATCGGTGTGGATGAGCTCCTCGTTGCAACCGGAGTTGGGGCACTGGCCTTTCCCCCAGCACATGCTATTGCTGTGCTGAGACCAGGTTGGGTACAGACAGGGCAAAGTCACAGGCTGGCCCAAAAACCCCATCACAACAATCTCTGATGTGGCCGGTGCTGCAACGAAAAATGTGAAAACTAGGTCATGCAGTACTGAAATCTCTCAAATATGCTCCACAGTTTTTGTCTAATAGATGCTTCCGGGAAGATGAAAAAAACTGTAGTCTGTGTTTCTTTTCTTTTTCTTTTTTTTTCCTTTTTTTGATACAGGGTCTTGCTTTGTCACCCAGGCTGGAGTGCAGTGGTGCAATCACGGCTCACTGCAGCCTCGACCTCCCAGACTCAATCCATCCTCCCACCTCAGCCTTCTGAGTAGCTGGGATCACAGGTGTGTGGCACCACTCCCGGCTAATTTTTGTGTTTTTTGTACAGACAGGGTTTCCCAGGTTGCCCAGGCTGATGTGGTTCTTTAGCGTAAGTTTGGATGTGCTTCGCAGTGCTGCTGTGCTCCTTATTCCACCACTTAGTGCAGCCAAGTGGCCACTTGAATCTCTAAACTCATCTCCATGGCAAGACCTTTTTGCTGATTTAAATCCTCTGATTTTAGTTCTATTCGATGACCAATAAACTCTCACATGAAAAATCCTGACCTTGTCACCCAATTCCACTTATTCATATAATCAGGTGGGCTGTTTTCTACAAGTCGATATTGTGGGCTACAGACTGAAAAGCTTCAATGGGTCTCCCAAGCCAGGGAGTGCGATGATAGAAAGGTAGGCTGTAAACGTATGTATTCCGTTGCCTTCTCTCCTTTCAGTGGAAATTACTGGAATTGGAAATTACTTGCTTTGGACTAGTTGTTTGCTGTTAGATAATATGAAGTTAAGTGGAGCTCATGGACTATTTATTTTTAATGGACAAATAATAATTGTCTATATTTATGGGGTACCATGTGATGTTCTGATATACATATACAGTGTAGAAAAATTCAATCAAGCTAATTAACATGTGCAGCACCTTATCAACTTAACAAATTTTTGTGGTGAGAATATTAAAAATCTATTAGCAATTTTGAAGTATTTAATACATTATTAATTACTGTGGTCACGGTGCAGTGCAATAGATCACTAAAACTTAGTCCCTCCCTCTAACTGAAACTTTGTACCTTTTAGTCAACATCTCCCCTTTCCCTAACCCAGCCACCCACCCCCCAGCCTCTGGCAACCACCTTTCTACTGTTGCTATGGGATTAACTTTCTTAGAGTCCACAGATAAGGGAGATCATACTGTATTTGTCTTTCTATGCATGGCTTATTTCACTTTGTATAATGTATTTTTTTAACATTAGCGCAAGTAGGAACCACAGAAATTATCTAAAATGACAGCTGTGATGTAAAAAAAAAAAATGTTTCACCTTTTGTAAAATGAAGTATGAGTGTGTCCCAACCTCTGCTACTCATTAGCATGACCTAAGGAGCTTGTTAAAAATACATAGTGTATTGCCCAAACCTGAGCCTGAATCCCTGAGACCAAGGCCCATGCATTTGTACTTGGATTAAGTTCTCCAGGTCACCCTGATGTAGTTGACTGGCTTATCCAGTGTTTCAGAACCATTAGACAAGCTCCTCTAAGATTACCTTCATCTCTGATAATCTGCAAAACATTTTCACTGTTAAAAATGTTAAGCCCGTTGGCTTAATTGTGCATCAGAGATTATGCTAAACCATTTCCCTCCCCAGAAATGCTATTGAAGTGAAAGCCAGGCAGGCTGTAGATCTCAGATTGTTGGGACCACACCCTGCTCCCCCTTGGGTACCTGGGTCCCTGTTCGTTGTTTTCTCTGAGGCACCCTCCTGTGAGATTCTCTATTCACTAACTTCGCTGACTTAGTTGGCTAAGTTATAGAAGGCATGGCCAGCAGCGCCGTGTTCCTCCCTGACTCAGTTGACAGTAACATTCAGGCATTCCTCTCTCTAGGAGAAGGTGGGCATGAGTCTGAAGAGTCACCCAGATGGTAAGCAAGACCATGTGCTTCTGGGATTTTTCATAGTTGGCTTTCTTTTTTAAGACAGTCTTGGCCGGGGGAGGTGGCCCATGCCTGTAATCCCAGCACTTTGAGAGGCCAAGGTGGGCAGATTACCTGAGGTCAGGAGTTCAAGACCAGCCTGACTAACATGATGAAACCCTGTTTCTTCTAAAGATACAAAAAAATAGCTGGGCCTGGAGGTGCATGGCTATAATCCCAGCTACTCAGGAGGCTGAGGCAGGAAAATCGCTTGAACCTGAGAGGCAGAGGTTGCATTGAGCCGAAATTGGGCTATTGCACTCCAGCTTGGGCAACAAGAGTGAAACTCATTAAAAAAAAAAAAAAAAAAAAGATAGTTTCATTCTGTTGCCCAGGCTGAAGTGCACTGGTACAATCTTGGCTCACTTCAACCTCTGGGTGTTCTTATGATAAAAGGTCATTCCCAATTTGGACCAGACTGCAGCCTTCCCTGAATTTGGTCTCTTCACTTCGCCACATGGAAATGTTTCACAGATTATAAGTGCAGTGGGACGCTAGGCGCAGTGGCTCATGCCTGTAATCACAGCATTTTGGGAGGCCGAGGCGGGTGGATCACTTGAGGTCAGGAGTTCAAAACTAGCCTGGCCAACATGGTAAACCCTGTATCTACAAAAATACAAAAATTAGCCAGGCATGATGGCAGGTGCCTGTAATCCCAGCTACCTAGGAGGCTGAGGAAAGATAATCTCTGGAATCCAAGAGGCAGAGGCTGGAGTGAGCCAAGATTGTGCCATTGCACTCCAGCCTGGGTGACAGAGCAAGACTCCATCTCAAAAAAAATAAACAAATAAAAAATAAATAAATGCAGCGGGAAGTCCATTTTGCCTCCCATGAATCCAGGAGAAAAATAAGAAGTTCAATGTCATCACCCTCAGCTGTGTTAACAACATAGAACACATTCACCTAAAATTAATAACTACTAAAATATGAACTTAGCCAAGTGTGGTGGCACATGCCTATAGTCCCAGCTACTCAGGAGGCTGAGGCAGGAGGATGGCTGAAACCCAGGAGTTTGAGGTTGCAGTGAGCTGTGATTGTACCACTGGACTCCAGCCTGGGCAACAAAGCAAGACTGCCTCAAATTTAAGAAAGGAAAAAGAAAAAACATATGATCTTTTTCCTATGAATATTTGATAAATTAATAAAACATGTACAAGAAGTAGTCCACTGGAGAGTCAACATTTTATTTTCCCAAGTACTATAGTATGAAAGGAGGCATCCTAATTGCTCAATAAGAAAAATCCAATAGAGAAACTAGCAGAGGACATAATGAACAATTCATAGATAAAAAAATAGGAGCAGCCAATTAATTTCACCCATTAGACTGGAAAAAACTTAGAACACTGAACATATTGAATATTGACCAGGGTGTGAGTAAACAGGGCTCCAAAATACTTGTGGGAAGGGACTTAGGAAAGGACTTAGCCTCCTGAGATAAATCAGAGTGAAATGGGGGCATGAACTGGTACAGCCGCACTCTGAGGAAATTTGGCAGTTTCTATTAAATATTCACTATACATGAGTCCTAGATATGCCTTAGCAATTTCATGTTTGTTATCTACCCTAGAAAAACATATGTTCACAAAGATGCCTATTTGCAAATGTTGATTGCAGCCTCCATGTATATGTGAATGAAATGGACAATGAATGTATATATGCGGAATGGCTGAACTAGGGTGTATTTATTCCATGGAATTCTATGTAGATTAATAGCATTAGAGAGAGACCTGCATGAACTGACAGGAAGACTCCAAGCCATTTAATGATGAAGAGGACAAATTTCAAAACAAGACATAAAATATAAAACCCTTCTTGTAAAACAAATAAATAGAACAATTGTCTTTGTTTTTGTGGGCTCAGACATTTGAAATTAAATACATAGAAAACTGTCTGGTGCAGTAGACAACAAACTCATTGTGTCAGTTACCCCCAGGATCAGAGGAAAGGGACTGGAATTGGGGATAGTAGTCCAAAGGGCATTTGGCTTTATAACATTTTAATATTTTCACCAGGAGTATTTCTGTATTACTCATCTTATTAAAAATTCATATAAAAAAAAGGACGCAGGCACTGGGTAGGGCAGGAAAAACATCCATTAGGCTCACATTGTAAACCCCATCCTGCCAGTTACTTACTGCTTTTGTGTTGTTGGAGGAAAGCCATGGTAATCTTGACCTCATTATCATCACAAGACAAAGAGGATAATACTCACCTCACAAATGGTGCTAAGGTCCACGTAAGAAGGAGTATCAAATGACATGTGAAATTAACAAAGCATTAATACGCATAACGAAGGACATTAGAATTTAGAAATAAGACAAAGAATGGTTCCTGTCTGTTGCAAAAGTATCCCTCAGTAAAGTAATTGCTGGTATCAAATCAGTTTCACTTCTGTGGAGCTACCTGGAATGGTGGATACAACCTAGGTCCCTATGCCAGCTTGTTCCTTCCCTAGCTGGTGACCTTGAGCAAGGCTGGCCCTTCCCCAATCTGAGTGTCAAAATCACCATCTGCAGAGCGAAGGGCATCTTTTAAGAGTACATCCAGCTCAGATCCTTGGTGATTCTGAGCAGTCACTCTCTTTTAAGTTGGTCATCTTAGAAAAGGCATGTATAGGCCGGGCACCGTGGGTCACGCCTGTAATCCCAGCACTTTGGGAGGCTAATACGGGTGGATCACCTGAGGTCAGGAGTTCAAGACCAGACTGGCCAAACATGGTGAAACTCTGTCTCTACTAAAGAATACAAAAAATTAGCCAGGTGTGGTGGTGGATGCCTGTAATTCCAGCTACTCAGGAGGCTGAGGCAGCAGAATTGTTTGAGCCTGGGAGGCAGAGAAGTTGCAGTGAGCTGAGACTGCACCGCTGCACTTCAGCCTGGGCATTGGAGTGAGACTCTGTCTCAGAAAAAAACAAACAAACAAAAAAATTGAAAAGAAAAGAAAAAAGAAAAGGCACATATGGAAAAAAAATAATAAAACAAAAAGCAGTTTACCAGTACTGCCTCCAAGCAGGACTGGAGGCAGGAGAATCGCTTGAACCTGGAAGACAGAAGCCCCTCAACCAGTGTCCTACAGACCTCAGCAACTTTCAACCTGACAAAACCCTGCAAACCTCAAGTTTCCAGGATAAGACAAAGTCAGTAAAGAACATTGATGAAAAGGCAGATGGTAGTTCTCTTACATCTAAACAAAGAGGTGCTCATACCAAACCCAAAGCAGAAGTGTGAAAGTGACAGGGACTGCTTTCATTCTGTAGAATCTTTCTTTTTCTTTCTTTTTCTTTCTTTCTTTGTTTCTTCCTTCCTTCTTTTCTTTTCTTTTCTTTCTTTCCTTCTTTCTTTCTTCCTTCCTTCCTTTCTTTTCTTTTTTCTTTCTTTCTTTCTCTTTCTTTCTTTCTTTCTTTCTTTCTCTTTCTCTCTCTTTCTTTCTCTCTCTCTCTTTCTTCTCTGTCTTTCTTTCTTTCTCTTTTCGAGGAGCAGTCTTGTTCTGTCACCCAAGCTGGAATGCCTTGGTGCAATCTTGGCTCATTGCAACCTCTGTCTTCCAGGTTCAAGCGATTCTCCTTCCTCAGCCTCCCAAGTAGCTGGGATTACAGGCACACACCACCACACCCAGCTAATTATTGTGATTTTAGTAGAGGCAAGGTTTCCTTCATCATGTTGGCCAGGCTGGTTGCAAACTCCTGACCTAAGGTGGTCCATCCACCTTGGCCTCCTGAAGTGCTGGGATTATAGGCATGAGCCACCACACTTGGCCTGTAGTAGATTGTTTCTTGAGTGCCTATAATGTATTAAGCATGGAACTAGGTGCTGAAATATAACAAGCCACAAAGCGGACCCGGCCTGCCCTCCTGGGGCCTACAGAGTAGCTGGGAAGAGAGGCAGGTAAGCAAGCATTTGCTAGAGTCACAAGTTTGCAGATGCAGGAGCTCCAAGGAGAATGAGAACTCATAGCAGAAATGCCTAACCTAGTCCAGAGGCTACGGGGTGGCTGGGAAAAGCCTGACTTAAGTAGGGACCTGAGGATACATGGTACTATTGAGGAAACAATGGCAGAGAGAATAGTATAATACGAGTTTGACAGGCAAGTAAATACATTTGTTTTCCTTAAAATGTGGGTGTTTTCTCATGCACCATGTTGGAGATACATACAAATAGCCAAGAGGTAGAAAAAAAATGTTTAACATCATTAATCATTGGGGAAATTCAAATCCAAACCACAATGAGGTATCACTTCATTCCCGTTAAAATGGCTACTATCAAAAAGACAAAAAAATAACCATTGCTAATTAGGATGAAAAGAAAGAGGAACTCTCATACACTGTTGGTAAGAATGCAAATTACTACAGCCATTATAGGAAACAGTATGGTGATTCCTTAAAAAACTAAAAATAGAACTACCATATGATCCAACAATCCCACTACTGGGGATGTATCCAAAAGAAAGGAAATCAATTAAAGAGCTTGCAATCCCATGTTTATCACAGCACTATTCACAATAGCCAAGATATATCAACTTACGTGTCCATCAATGGATGAATGGATAAAGAAAATGTGGTATATACACACAGTAGAATATTATTCAGCCATGAAATGAAACTCTGTCATTTGCAACAACATAGATGGAAACAGTTTATTAATATTATGTTAAGTTGAATAAGCTAGGCACAGAGAGACAAATATTGCATGGTCCCACTCCTACATGGGAGCTAAAAAAGTTGATCTCAAGAAAGTAGAGAGTAGAATAATAGTCACCAGAGTCTACAAAGAATAGGGCAGAAAAGGTATAAAGAAAGGTGGGTTAATGGGTACAAAAATACAGTTAGTTAGAACATGTGAAAAAAAAGAAAAAAAATACAGTTAAATGGAAGGAATACATCCTAGTGTTTAATAGCACAGTAGTTATTAATAATTTCTTGTGTATTTCAAAATAACCAGAAGAGAATATTTGGAATGTTCTCAACACAAAGAATTCCAGCACTCTGGGAGACTGGGTGGGTAGATCACCAGAGGTCGGGAGTTCGAGACCAGCCTGGCCAACATGGTGAACCCTCTTCTCTACTAAAGATACAAACAATTAGCTGGGCATGGTAGTGCACACCTGTAATCCCAGTTACTCAGGAGGTTGAGGCAGGAGAATCATTTAAACCTGGGAGGCAGAGGTTGTGGTGAGCCGAGATCATGCCACTGCATTCCAGCCTGGGTGACAGAGTAAGACTCCCGTCTCAAAAAAAAAAAAAAGAAAAAAGAAATTTATTGTTTCAAGAAATGAATATCCCAATTACCCTGATTCGATCATTGTATGTTGTATGTATACATCAAAATAACACACAAGTAGTCCATAAATATGTATAGTTATTATGTATCCATTAAAAAAATGGACTTTATAAAACTTCAAGGACTATTCAATATTATCTTATCCTAGAAGCACAGATGTGACAACTGGTCATTTAAGAAGCCAAGGCTCTCATTCCAACTATGGGACAAATATGGGAGAGCCAGAGCAATTTAGATGTATTCCCAGTGTCAAGACTTAGGGCCCGAGATGCAGCTGCAACACAGGCCAGAACGCCTGGCCCTATACCACCAGGGTGCAAAGGACTTCACTGGCCAAAACTGAGTGTGCACCTCTGCATCATCCAAAACCCAAAAACAACGTGCAGAAAAGAAAGCTTACCGTAAGGCCTCACCCCAGCAAAACAAAACAAAAAGCAAACAAACACTTCTAAAAAACAGAGAAAATGATAAGAATTATCACAACTCTCACCAGAACCAATTCTCCTGATTGATTATATGAATAACAACCATAGAGGAAATCTCTTTTCCCCAGTTTATCTGACCACTTATTTCCGTGTCTCTTCTTCAGTTGCCATTTCCAATATAAACCCAAATTACCCCAGCCTAAAACCTCCAGACCCGTCTCTGGATAAACCTCTGTGTAAGGAGGCAGGAGAGACTCTCCACAGAAGAAAGCCTGGAAGGGAGAGGGGAGGGATACAGAAATGAAGTGAGCCTGTTCTTTATGGAGGCCCAAACCAGTGCATGGAAGTCCATCACACAATAGCAAGTCCTCCAGGAGCTTCTACATAGAAGGTTTCAGAACACTTACTCAGATAAAGCCCCCAACACTCAATCACCAGCCAGAGAAAGAGAGTTTCTTTGGACATTTTGACGGTTGACCGGAGCTAGGAGTCTGTCTATCTATCCAAAGCCCATTTCTTATACTGCAGTTAATGCTGACAGGGTGGGACTCTTGTTTCATTTCTCTTTTTCCCTCATAATCTTCCCGTTCCCCTGTCCTAAATGTCTTCCCGCAATTGGTGAAGCATGATGAAATGTGCTGAGCCCTTTTCTCCTGGTGACTAATGTGTGTGTGGAGGGATGCATGGGCATACTTGTGCCTCTTGTCCACGTGTATAGTGGGTTTCCTATATGTGCATGAGCATCCATGCATGTGCTGGTGCGAATTTGCCTGTATAACCCATGCATGTTCCACAGTCGTCCCAACTGCTGTGCAGCCTATCACAAAACGCAGTTGACTCTCCACACTGGCACATGTTTACAGGTAGATTCTTCATGGGGCCAAAGCACAGTTAGGCTAAAAGTTGGCTCCATTTCCATTCTGGGTTCTCCCTCACCCTCTCCCCTGGTCTCCTTGCCCTGATAATGGAGAAAGAAAAGTGAAGACAGGCACAGTGGCTCACACCTGTAATCCTAGCACTTTGGAAGGCCGAGATGGGAGGATCACTTGAGGCCAGGACAGTCTGAGACCAGCCTGATCAACATAGCAAAACCCCCTCTCAATTTTTCATTTAAAAAAATGTTTAATAAAAAAATTAAATTAAAAAATTTGTAAAATTTTAGGAAGACACTGAAGCCCAGAACTTCCTGATTCCAAAGCTTATGGTAAATCACTACATTGTCCTCTGACCTGTGATCCTTTGGGTAATGGGTCCATATGACCAAGCCTACCTGTGTCTTGCTCCTACTTAGTACCAGAGAGGAAATATAAGAATGCACAAATGTTCCAGATTTTTAAAAATCCTCAATTGATTGTAACCAGCCAACAAACCTCAAACATTTCAACATTGCTTCTACTGAAGGTATTAGTGAAAAATCTCAATTATCAGTTGAGATTCTGGACTCAGGAAAGCCAACTAACATGGGCAGGGATGAAAATAAGGGGATTCAGAGTGAAACTTTCCCCTGAATGCCCACAGAACCATGGGATCCTTTCCCTATTCTATCCCCAGGAAACTGGAGAATTTAATCTCTGGCTAAACTAAATGGTCCCAATAAAATATTTTCAGATATTTATATTTTTTTAGTGTTCCCCAACAAAATCACCCAACCCTCCTTCAATAAGTTCACCAGTTCATGAGCCTCAGCCATGCGTGCGGAACTTTTAATTAGTTTTTAGTGTCACTTTCAGATAAGAACAGATAACCAGGGATCATCAGACATTTGAGGAACGTATTTATTATAAAAAAGAGACAAAAACAACAGGGTAAGCTAAAGAGAACTTCAAAAAAAATTTTTTAAAGCTAATATTTTCTCAGAAAAAAAGATTTTACATCCGTGAAAAAGAACACAGATGTTATAAAAATGAAAAATCAGACATTAGAAAAGAACTCTTAGAAATTAAAAATATTATACCTACCCCTGAATTTTATGGAAGGTTTGAAAAATAAAGTTAAGAAAATTTGTTAGAAAATATAATTATCTACAAAGCCAAAGGGCTAGGATTGTTTCAAAACATTACAAAAGAAAATAGAGGAGAGGAAATTACTAAAGAAATAATAAGGCCGGGCGCGGTGGCTCAAGCCTGTAATCCCAGCACTTTGGGAGGCCGAGGCGGGTGAATCACGAGGTCAAGAGATCGAGACCATCCTGGTCAACATGGTGAAACCCCGTCTCTACTAAAAATACAAAAAATTAGCTGGGCATAGTGGCACGTGCCTGTAATCCCAGCTACTCAGGAGGCTGAGGCAGGAGAATTGCCTGAACCCAGGAGGCGGAGGTTGCGGTGAGCCGAGATCGCGCCATTGCACTCCAGCCTGGGTAACAAGAGAGAAACTCCGTCTCAAAAAAAAAAGAAATAATAAAAGAAAGACTCTCATAACTAAAGGACATGACTCTCAGCATTGAGAGGGCCAATCAAATGCTAAGCTCAGTGAATGAAAATATCTTCACAAAGCAAGACATCATCATGTATTCTAAGAACATCAGACATAAAGAAAAGATACAAAAAGACTCCAGAACAACAACATATTACATTGATAGATTTGGAATTAGAATGGCATTGGTGTTCCAAACAACAAAGCTAGAAAATAATGCATGAATGCCTTCAAAATTCAGAGGAGAGGCTGAGTGTGGTGGCTCACACCTGTAATGCATCACTTTGGGAGGCCAAGGTGGGTGGATCGCTTGAGTCCAGAAGTTCCAAACTAGCCTGGGCAATATGGTGAAGACCTGTATCAGCTGGGTACGGCAGCTCATGCCTCTAATACCAGCACTTTGGGAGGCTAAGACGGGCAGATCATTTGAGGTCAGGAGTTCAAGACAAGCCCGGGCAACATGGTGAAACCTGGTTTCTACTAAAAATACAAAAATTAGCTGGGTGTGGTGGTGCACTCCTGTAATCCTAGCTACTTGGAAGGCTGGGGCAGAAGAATCACTTGAATGCAGCAGGCAGAGGTTGCAGTGAGCTGAGATTGCACTCCTGCACTCCAGCCTGGGTGACAGAGACTCTGTCTCAAAAAAAAAAAAAAAGAGAAAAGAAAAAGAAAAGAAAGTCTGTATCTGCCAAAAATACAAAAAAATGGCCAGGTGTGGCAATGTATACCTGTGGTCCCAGCTACTCCAGAGGCTGAGGCAGGAGGATTGCTTGAGCCTGGGAGGTGCAGGTTACAGTGAGCTGAGATTACAGCACTGCACTCCAGCCTGGGAAACAGACAGAGACCCTGAGTCAAAAAAAAAAAAAAAAAAATTCAGAGTAGAAATTTATTTTCAACCCAGAATCCTACTTCCAGACAATCTATTTCTCAAATGTAAGAGCACGATAAAGACTTTTTTGGACACGGATTCAACATTTACTTACTATGCTTCCTTTCCTAGGAAGTAATAGAAGGGAAATCTATAGCAAAACAGGAGAAATAACCAGGAAACAGAAAGACATTGGATCCAGAAAACACGACATCTAACTCCAGGGAAGAAAAATTTCACGAAGAAAACTGCAGAACAGAGAGGGGAACTGTTTCACTGCATCATAAACCACCCCAAAACCTAGTGCCTGAACCATGTACTTTTCATGATTCCCTGGAATGACAGTGTTCGGCTGGGTAGCACTCACTCAGTGACGGTGGCTAGAGCTGCAGCTATCTAAAGACTGGATTGGACTATTTGTCCAAGATAACCAAAAATGACATTTTTAGCTGGAATCATATGTCTAGCAAGTTAATAGAATGACTAGAAGAGGTAGGGACTAGGCTGACAACTCTCTCTCTCTCCATGTGGCCTTTCTACATGGCAACTTGGGCTTCCTTACAGTATGGTGGTCTCAGAGTAGTTGGATTTCTTATGTAGGATCTGGCTTTCTAAAACATGAGCATTCCAACATGTTCAGGAATAATCTATGAAGGTTTTTATGACTTAGGCTTAGGTGACATTCAGTATCATTTTTACAGTATTCTGTTGGTCACAAGGCAAGTTATAAAGCTGTCCCAGAGAATTCAAGTGGACGGAGCAATACAAGGATGTGAATACAAGGAAGTGTGGTTCATTGGGGTGGCAGGGGAAGCATCTCTGGAGACTAGCTACTTTTATAACCAACTCAGGCTGGGGCAGAAGGGCAGAGGAATAAGCCTTGGGGTGTTGGTAGTGTCATGAATGAGCTCATGTACTTAGATATTTTGAAAACAAATTTGATAGGTGTTTGGCAGGTATGATGGAATATTTGGGATTTTTTTTTTTTTGAGACAGGATCTTGCTTTGTTGTCCAGGCTGGAGTGAACTGGTATAAACATGTCTTAGCAAAGCCCCAATCTCCAGGCTCAAGCAATCCTCTTGCCTCAGCCTCCCAAGTAGCTGGAACCACAGGTGCGTGCCTCCATGCCCAGCTAATTTGTTTAAATTTTTGTAGAGGCATGGTCTTGCCATGTTGCCCAGGCTGGTCTCAACCTCCCGGTCTCAAGTGATCCTCCCATCTTAGCCTCCAGGAGTGCTAGGATTACAGGCATGAGCCACTGCTCACAGTGATGGGATGAATATCTTATGGATACTTGAGAAATTAAGAAAGAAAGACAACAAAGGCCAAGTGTGGAGGCTTATGCTTGTAATCCCAGCACTTTGGGAGGTTAAGGCAGATAGATCACTTGAGGTCAGGAGTTCCAGACCAGCCTGGACATCATGGTGAAACTCCGTCTCTACTAAAAATACAAAAACTTGCCAAATGCAGTTGTGGGTGCCTGTAATCCCAGCTACTTGGGAGGCTGAGGCAGGAGAAACTCTTGAACCCAGGAGGTGGTGGCTACAGTGAGCCAAGATCGCGCCACTGCACCCCAGCCTGGCTGACAGAGGGAGACTCTGTCTCAGAAAAACAAGCAAACAAACAAAAACTGAGGTAATTATTACAACCAGGAAAGATAAAATGTTATATTAGAAAAGAGATGTAATTATGGTGCATTTGCTAAATATGAAAGTTATTAATATTTACATGATCATGATAATATAAAATCTGGCTACTGGCTTGACACACACTTTTTTTTTTTTTTTTTTTGAGACAGAGCCTTCTGAGTAGGTGAGACTAGAGGCACGTGCCACCACGCCCAGCTAACTTTTTGTATTTTTAGTAGAGATGGAGTTTCACCTTGTTAGCCAGGATGGCCTCGATCTCCTGACCTCGTGATCCTCCTGCCTCAGCCTCCTAAAGTGCTGGGATTACAGGCATGAGCCACTGCACCCGGCCTTTTTTTTTTTTTTTGACATAGGGTCTTGCTCTGTCACCCAGGCTGGAGTGCAGTGGTGCAATCTTGGCTCATTGCAACCTCTGCCTCCAGGGTGCAAGGGATTCATCCTTCAGCCTCCCAAGTAGCTGGCATCACAGGCATGCACATGCCTGACTAATTTTTGTATTTTTAGTAGAGACAAGATTTCGCCATGTTGGCCAGGCTGGGCTCAAACTACTGGCCTCAAGTGGTCTGCCTGCATGAGCCACCATGCCACAACTTAACACCCAATTTTGATATGA